GTCTCTCTGAACTTTTGGGGTAGGAACTTCATGGCCCAGTCATCAGTAATAAGTACCGACCTTTCATCCAAAAGATCCAGAGCATCAAGTCTTGCTTTGTCTCGTTGCACAGACCTGAGTATATGGGCTTTCCACGCCTCTGTCGCCTTAGCAGCTTGTTGGTAGGAGAACATCAGATCATCTTCGTTGTCTCTGTTGGTTGCTGTGCTAATTAGTGAGTGAATAGCTGATATTGTGGCTTTCAAATTCTCACATGATTGACAGGATTCCTCATGGGTGTGTTCGCAGTTTTGTACATGGTCTTTCTCTTTAGAATCACTCAGCGCATATGCGAGGCAATGATCTGATGTTCTTGAGTCTTCCGTTACATGGACCTAATGCAGGAAAATTGTATTAAAAAACAATCTTATTTGTCTCGATGTCTGTCGGTCTGTCTAAGATATGTCTGTTTGCTGATGTTCGTGTATGTAACGTATGACKAATATGTGGACAAATACAACCAAACGTTTACAGTGCGAAGCCCAAATGTATGACCACGGCTAATCGCATACTTATATACGTATACGGGATTTTGTACGTTAACCATTTCGTTACCGCTGGCTTGCAAAATATTGCATGTGAAAGCTCTTCTAAGCGCAAATCCGTGCAAAAAATATTCGAATTGATCATCAACGGTCATACTTTTAAGCTTCGTGCCGTTAACACCAGTACTTTACATTTACCTTATAATCGGTTTTCAGATACTGTTTGCCATCTTTCAAAGCATTTTGGAGTCGTTTTGATTGGTAATGATCAACGCCGGCATCAGCTAGTTTGTCTAGGACTAATATCAGGTCATCAAAAGCAGTTGATCCCTCRGCGGCTATGTAGTCCAACCCCTGTAAGGATTTTCTTGTAGAAGCTGGACATGCTCTCAGAATGCGGTGCATGGTTGAATGGCTAAATGGTGTGAATTCTGTTTCTTCACAATATTGTGTGTACTGTGCAATTATTCGCTGTTTTATCATAGATCTGATGACGTTTGGCGTCTCGATGACCYTCCCATTTGACAAATGCAGGTGGCGTTGTCCAAACGGAAGATCCTGTACTACGTGTGGGCTAGTTAAGAAAGACAAAAAGTGATCAAKCTGGATATCACTAACACGCATTCTGGGAGACTTTGTATCTGGTACAGGTGCACCACGACCATGTGTTAGCCTGTGTTTGCGGGCTGCCTTTACTCTATAATGGGTGATGTCAGGAATGTACTTCTGTATTCTGGAGTATGGAACAAGGTCTGCAATTATAGACAAGACCTGGCGACGAGTGTCCCAGCCAACTGCATGTTGATAGCTTTCTACCAACGCCCTAAGGTACTCTTTTTCAACACTGTCGTTGCTTTCTATGCATAGCTTTTTTTCGACCAGCTTAGCCTTCTTTGTTGCTTCCCACAGCGCCCCACTATCCCCAGGTGCAATAACATCCAGCACAGCTGCAATTGAATTGCTTGCTTTAGAGACATGTGTGTTCTGTGTGCGCTTCGCCAGTTCACTAAATGGTTTCTTTGATATCCCGACGCTATCAACCCCAGAGGCCGAAAGGAAATTATTTAATGCACTTCGACGATTATCGAGGTCGGCTTTAGCAAGTTCGACAACTGAAGCTTCACTAGTACTGGTACTTGGTGGAGAGTAAACACTTCTTTCTACCGAAATGGCCAAACTCTCAACTTTGTCACACAATGAGGTTTCAGAGGACGTTTCCTAAAAACAAGCTTGGGTTAAAATGTATGTAAATAATGCAAAATAACTTAAAACTTCGTCATATCAAACGTCCTGATCAAACGATCATTTTTTTAACCTAGTGTAACGTGAAGTAGAAAATGGACGTCTATTCCGGCGAAAACTAATTATATGGTTGTGTGAT